CGGCAGGCCCAGCCATGCTGCTTTGCAGGAGCTGGTTCCATAGTAGGATAAATCCTGCTTAAGTTGCAGGGTGGGGGGAAAGCCAAGTCAGCACAAGGGGTTAGTACCGGAGGCAGAATCTGGTTTTCTTGGCTTCCAGGCTCAAAGGTGACCAACTGACCCATGGTGTCTTGGGATGAATCTCACCGCTCTGCTGTGTGTCAGCTTCCCCATGCCCAAACTGAAATGCTGGCTGGACCTGGGAGGGGACAGTGCTGTCAGTCAGTCTGGGTTTGCTCAACATCAAACATCCTCAAAGCTCCAGAGCGTCATTTGCTGCCTTCATCCTGGGTCAGCGGAGTGCAGCGAGATGCGGGAACAGCAATCGTTGCACCCTGTGTCTGGGACCGCAGCATAGGGATGGGGACACTCATTGTACAGTGTGGGGGCCAGCAGAAAGGTGACAGCCCTGGGTTTGGCCACGGTGGGGTTTCCAAGCCAGCTGTGTGCATCAGGAAGCCATGCAGCCGGTCCTCTGCAAACAGGGCTGTGCCCCTGGAGGAGCAGAAAGCCTTGGACAAAGATGCTTAGCTGGTATAAAGGCTAGGAAAGAACTTGGCTCTGAAACCACAGCAGCCTGCCACTTCCCACTGTCCGAGAGGCATTGCACCAAGTCATCTCCACGCACAAGGAAAGCTGAACGCTGTTGACAGCTCGCCACGCAGACTCCCCACGGACGCTGCAAGCCAAGCCGGCTTTCTCACCATCTCCCACAGCCCCCCAGTTGTAAGCATGAAACCAAGCTGGTGAATAATTCTGCTGATGCACAGAAGAGAAAATCCTGTTCTCTCCTCCTGGGGCAGACTGGCAGGGCTAATGGGAGGAAGAGGCTGTGACAACTTGATTTTGTGGCTGAAGTCAGCAGATCTGGCTCCTGGGACACATGGGAACAGGCAGGGAGCAGGAGCCACTTTTGCACAGTCACTTCTCGGAGGCGAGCAGGGCTTCAAAGGAAAAATCCTTAGCAGGATGTCGCAACTTGGGAGGAGGAGGAAAAAAACAAGCAAACAAAAAAACCCACAAGCTCTGTAGGGCTGGGAAATGCAGAGTCAAGGAATGAGGTTTCCAAAAAGCCTTTGCTCAGTACTCGCATCTCTTGGTGCAGACGAAGTAGCAACATGAGCTGACGCTGGCGATTTCTGAGGACGTTAAAGCTTGGTGTGGTCAGCGGGTGCAGGCATGAGTTTTGCCTGTCCAATGCAGGGGATCTCCCTGCTCCGCGGCAGGACGGGGCTCCACTGGCGGCAGTGTCACTTAAACCGGGTGCCAGCAGCTGTGGGAAGGAGGGAGTCTCAACTACGCACATGCTGGCACAGGCACCCAGAGAGGGTCTGGGATTATCCAACAGCCTGACTGAGCTGTGTGGGTCTATCCTAAAACCCTTCAGGGATCCAGAGACTGGGGCATGGGTGAGCGTGCACATGTGCAGGGCGTGGTGGGTTGGGTTACTGGGATGAGCAGGATGGACCATTGTGCCCGCGTGCTTGGTGGAGAGATGCCAAGAGCTTGAGGGGTGCTTGCCCCAAAAGGGGCAGCTCCCCTTTCCCTCTAATGCTGATGCTCAAGAGCAGCTCTGTAACTCCTTCTGCTGAGGGTGGGGTGATGGAAAGTAGAGCACATGGTCACCTCCACGCTGGGCCAGTCTTTTCCAGGTCAGCAAAGACCTCACAGCCATGTTCATGAGCCAGGCTGGTGGAGGAGGTACCCAGCATGTGCAGTTTTATCAACAGCAGGCTCCTGACTCTGTCCTCCCCACTTCAAGCCCTGCTCGAATCCCAAGTGACGGGAAACCTGGCAGCTCCCAGAGGCCATCCTGCTGGGGGCCAGGGGAGCTAAAAACAGGCTCCAGCAGGAAAGTAGTTTGGAGGGCGATGTTTGTCACTGATGAGCACGCAGCCACGCTGCAGGAGTTGTGTGGCAGCTGGAGCTGGCAGCCGAGCGCCTGTCCTGCTTGTTTTGGCTGACTTCAGAGACCTCTGGCTTTTCCTAGTAGCACTTGGATGTGCCAGTACTCAGGAGACCTGACCGGGCACATTCAGACAACGCCGAAAATATCTTCCTTGCAGGCAATAGAGGCAAAGGGGAGCCAGCAGCTGGGCTCCCCGAGAGACAGGGGACCAGGCTGCAGAGGGATGGTTGTTTTGCTTGTGTTTGCTCTCTGCTGGCCAAAAACGCATCCTGCAAAGCCACCACAGTGGCACATTTAAGGTGACCCCAGATGGTCACCAGGCCTCAGCTATGGAGGTGATGAGAGGCTAGCTCTCCTCGCTGTCTGCGGCACAGGGTGTCCCAGCTGAACATGGGTTCATGCTCCCCCAACCCTTGCCTCCTAACCAGTTGTGCTGGCTGTTACGGCAGGTACCTGGCAAAGCTGTCTTCAGTGGGGAGCATCTCCGAGGAGGAGACCTGTGAGAAGCTGAAGGGTTTGATCCAGCGCCAGGTGCAGATGTGCAAGAGGAACTTGGAGGTGATGGACTCGGTGCGGCGTGGAGCCCAGCTGGCCATCGAGGAGTGCCAGTATCAGTTCCGCAACCGCCGCTGGAACTGCTCCACGCTGGACACCCTGCCTGTCTTCGGCAAGGTGGTAACACAAGGTGAGCTGGGAGTACATGTGCCTGGGGTGATGCTGCACGGGGAAACGGCTACAACAGCAGTCCGTGCACTGCAGGTGGGTTTTGCTTGCTTGCCCCTGAGCCAGTGGCTGGGGAGAGTAGGGAATGGCCCGGTGTTGGGTCTTGGGGCTGACAGGTCTTCCCTGGGCATTTCAGCAGGGCTTTTTTGACTGTATTGGAAGCAGGATATCCAGACCCTTGCAGTTTCTCAGCTGCTGGGTGCTTCCTCTCCCAAACCTTTTTCACACTGAGCGGGTGCCCGTTGCATGGAGGTATCAGCCCAGGGCATCCAGAGAGCCTGGACCTTTTACAAGGACATGCTGAGTTCGAGCGGGGGCCCTGAAATCCCCTCTGAGGTCTAATCTCTTCCCTGCCAAGCCCAGGAGCTTCTCTCCACAAAGCCGTGGCTGCATTTATTCGGTTTCTTCTCTGGGCAGCGCCGAAGCGGTGACCGTTGCCAGGCTGGCGTCCTGCGCTCGAGCGGAGCCGTCTGTGGGCAAGACCTTGGGAGGACAGCCCTCTGCCGCCCGACGCGAGTAAAACAGACGGCGGCTGGACCCTCCGAGGACAGCATCGTCACCCGCCACCACCCAGCCACCCGCCTCTGCGGGGGGATTTGTGGCCAGGGCAGCCCCCAGCCCCTCTGATCCCAGCTGCACCCAGGCATCCCGCAGGCACAGGGCTGCGATCAAACCAAGCAAGGACCTAGAGCGTCGGGGCGAGGAGAGGGAGGGGAAACCCCCTCTGCAGCCCCTGGAGACCACCGAAGTGGCAATTGCCTCCCCTCAGGTGCCACTGCCATCTCTGATGCACCCTCTCGCTTCCCATCTCAGGACCCACAGACCAAAGCCTACACCCCCACACCCCCTACACACACCCCCCAGCTCCTTGTATGACTTTCCTCCCCTCTACGCAGGGGTGAAGATCTCTTCTTGTGAAGGTTCAGGGACTGGAAATACCAGAAATACCAGAAACTAAAAGTCGTCTCTTTAGGCAGCCACAGCACAAACCGACCAACACGATCCTACTATTAACCTCGATTAACTTGGAGGCGGTTCAGTCCCCACGCTGGCTGGGTCCTCCCCAGCCACTGCCGCCCGGGCCAGATTACGGCTGGGCCACCGAAGTCTGGGCTGCGACCACCAAAGTAGCTGCCCTCTGTCCGACCGGCAAGCCAGGGTGATATCTCCTCGAAGCCACCCCCACCACCCCCCATACACCCCCTAAGCATGGGACTACCCCAAATGCCAACCCTTCTTGCTTGGAGATGGAGGGGCTCTGTCCTCAGCCAGCCTCAGGGAATGGTGGGGATTTGGGTGTTGCAAGAGCTAATTCCTGGCCACACCACCCTGTGCATTTACGCCCAGGGATGTCCCTTGACTTCCCAAACAAGCTCTTCCTACCCGCGTGGCACCACAGAGGTAGACACAAGGGCTAGGAAGGGACTGCACCCCGGGGACCGGCGTGGTTTTGCAAGGTGCTCTGGGAGCAGAGTGGGGTTTTGCAGGATAGTTTGGGAGGTGCTGGGACCTACAGGACCCTGTGTGAGAGGATGGCAAGGATCTGCAGCTGCAGGGAATGCTCCTGGAGGTGGAAAACAGCCAACTATTTTGGATGCGGGAGGGATTTCTTGGCAGAGGTGCCATGCAAGCACCAGGCAAGACAATCTCTCCATATAAGCTCTGGAGACCGCTCCCCACATTGGCAATACAGCCATTGCATCTTCCTCATTGCCAGGTTATAATTTGCCCATCGCATTCATGTTTTTAACTTTGAGGGGCAGTTCCCAGCTCCTTCACTATTGCGAGGCAGGGCTCTCACTGCTGCAAACAATCTCCCAGCACCAAGGTGTCTGCTGGGACTGGTCCAGGCTTGGTACTAAGCAAACAGCATCCCTGGGAGCAGAGAGGATGCATGTCCTGCATGGGGTACCCCATCTTGGGAGGAAGAGACAGAGCAAAGGGCTTGACTGGAAAGCTCTGTAGAGCATGTTTTGCTGAGAGCCAGTTTTCAGACCAGCTTTTCAAGGGGTTTTATGCGTAACACCAGCATGAGGAGGGAAGAGGAGCAGTGACACACGCAACAGCCGACCAAGGGCCTTTGGCCACCTGGCTGCACCTCCTCCAGAAAGCTCTCTCACATGCCTCAGACTTGCTGCCCCATTTCCCACCATGGTTTGTGCTGTTGCAGGGACACGGGAGGCAGCATTCGTCTATGCCATCTCTTCGGCAGGGGTGGCCTTCGCAGTGACCCGAGCCTGCAGCAGCGGCGAGCTGGACAAGTGTGGATGTGACCGCACAGTGCAGGGGGGCAGCCCGCAAGGTGAGCACGCAAGGGTGGGGGAACAGAACAATCCAGTGGGGATGCAAAATGGCCAAGTGTGCAAATGACCACCCTCTGGAGCCATCCAGAAAGGAGGTAAGAGTAAGAAAAAAGCTTCCCCTTAGTCTACATGAGTCCCTCAAAAAGGCATATAGGAGCATCACCCCTGGGACAGAGATCCATGTCCACCCCCAGGGCCACACTCCCCAGCTTCCCCAGTCCCTGTGGCAGCTCAGCATGGTGGGTAGCGAGATGGAAGAGGGGGCAGGTTGGCTGTATTTTAGCAAGAGCAGGGCTGAGGAGGACAAGCAAGGCAGGCTGGCTGTATCTGTCTCATCCGTGCTCTCTGCCTTAGGCTTCCAGTGGTCAGGCTGCTCCGATAACATCGCCTACGGCGTGGCCTTCTCGCAGTCCTTCGTCGACGTCCGCGAGAGGAGCAAAGGGGCCTCTTCCAACAGAGCGTTAATGAACCTCCACAACAATGAGGCAGGGAGGAAGGTAATGGTGAGGGGAAAACCTGGGCAGTCGGTGAGGCTCTGCAGCATCCCAGCTGGACTCTGCAGCCGTTGCGGCTTCATTTAATCCCAGCGGCTCACGTGCATCAGCATCGCTTTCTGCACAGCCCTTCCCGACCCCGTGCATTGCACGCTCCTTGCTGTGTCCATTCTGAGCTGACTGTCCCATCTCGTTTCTTGTGTCTGTTCCTCCAGGCGATCCTGAACAACATGCGAGTGGAGTGCAAGTGCCACGGCGTGTCAGGCTCGTGCGAGTTCAAGACGTGCTGGAAAGCCATGCCCCCCTTCCGCAAAGTGGGCAACGTCCTGAAGGAGAAATTCGATGGCGCCACAGAGGTCGAGCAGAGCGAGATCGGATCCACCAAAGTGCTGGTGCCCAAAAACTCCCAGTTCAAGCCGCACACAGACGAGGACCTCGTCTATCTGGACTCCAGTCCTGACTTCTGTGACCACGACCTCAAGAACGGGGTGCTGGGCACCAGCGGGCGGCAGTGCAACAAGACCTCCAAGGCTATCGATGGCTGCGAGCTGATGTGCTGCGGCCGAGGCTTTCATACGGACGAAGTGGAAGTTGTGGAAAGGTGCAGCTGCAAATTCCACTGGTGCTGCTCCGTCAAGTGCAAACCCTGCCATCGGGTGGTGGAAATCCATACGTGCCGGTGATGCACGGAGGGGAGCGCCCATCCGTCCCCCTCTCTAACTGACCCTGCTTCTCCCTTGCCCCATGGCCAGGACTGAGGAAGTAACCCAGACGCTGCAGGGAGAGCACAGCTCTTTACAGAGACAGAGCCCCAGAGAAAAACAGATTTTAAAGAAAAAAAAGTATTTAAAGTTTAAAAAAATTGATCATTGTTGGCTTTTTTTGTTTTGTTTGCTTGCCTTATTTATTGCTGAAGCCAGAGCCCCTCAGTGTCCCGTGCCAGCAGGGATGTGCGGGCTCTCAGGGGCTGGCTAGGGACCTGCGTGGTGCCTGCTCTCGTCGGAGGAGCTCCTGCTGACGCTGGAGCACTGCAAATGGGAGGTGTTTAAGCCGAGGCTAGCGTTAGGCACTCGGTATCTTCTATCATCGCAGTTATTTTTATTTGTTTAAGGCATGCGCTGAGCATCCCGGAGCACTGCTTGCCTTGGCTGAGCCTCGGGAGGGGATGGAGCGCAGCCAGCGCGTGCAGCCAGGTGCACTGCAGAGGATGGGCAGATGGTGACAGGGTGACACGGTCTCTGGGAGTTAAGCTCGATGCAGGGAGAGCCTGGCCAGGGTGATCAATGTATGAGGGGTACATGGGACACTCCTGCATCCCCTTGTTGTGAGTTGCTCGATAACCTCCTCGGCATTGGATGGATTTTGGAGCAGCTCCAGTGGCCACTCTGATTTACAGAAGCTCCTCGGCAACTGCCCAGGGCTGTCAGAGGATGCAATGTTCCCACCGTGCTCCCCTTCCCCTTGCAAGCCCCCTTGCCCCTCACTCCTCCAGCATCTTGTTCAACTGGAGACTGTGAAGAGGGTCCAGAGAGGCCATAGTACCTGCAATCCAGTGACTCTTAACAGAGCTGGGAGCTGATGGGAGGACATCCCAGGGGATTTCTTTTCCACTGTTCCATAATTGCCCCCACCTTCCCCCAGCATCCCACAACTATGTCTCCTTCTCTTCCTCCACATGCCTGTTCTCCACACCCAGTGAGGGCTCTGGAGACAGTCCCTGTCCCGTTGGCTGCTGAGAAAAGCAAAAGAATAAATTGGGGCAATTGTTGGGGGTGGTGGAATGATGCTGCTGGGGGTAAAGGCAATGCTCATGCTCTGCCACTATCGCCGTCTTACCCTCGGGAAGTGGAGAGGAAGGCTGAGCTGGAGGGATGCTACCATGTGTGCCACAACCACTGGGATTTAGTGCAGCAGGGCTCCAGCTGCCCCATCTCGCTCCCCACAGGCTGGCCTGGAGCGATGCCATGAGGATAATGCACTGTCCGACCCTCTCCGGCTTCCCCTCTGCCTGGGATCGGGTTAGTGCAGAGTCCTTGCTGCTGGGCTGCAGGACGAAATATTTGGAGAACTAATAAGCAGAGGGGCACTGTGAGGGGAGGTGGAAAGCGAACCAGTTCCTCTCTCCCTCACCCACTTGTCTGCGAGTCGAGGCGCAAAAGGGGAGCGCAGAAAAACCTCGAAATGGCACCTTGAGCCAACAGGAACATCAGCCCACGGTGCAGTGAGGCATCGGCAAGGAGTGGCACGTCTGAGCGCTCCTGTGCAAGTTGAGAGCTCCCTGCATGGTCCAGAAAAGCCTGGAGCTGTGGCCATCATCTTCTGGGCTGGAGGAGGGGGTCTTTGCAAACCTGCAGTCTTGTTTTTCTTCCTTGCTTCGTCTTGAGAGGGGAAAGGTTGGGGGAACATGCAGACATACGTTAAATCCCGTCTGTGCTATGGCAGTGATGGGCTGGGGGAGAGTCTGTGGTCGCTGGAAGGTCTCCAGACACCGTCCGGCTGGAAGGCTGCTGACAACTGACTTGAAGCAGCACAGGGTGAGGGAGGTTTGCATCGAGGCATCCCCCCAATATGCCCCAGCTGCCTCCCTCCTGCCTGCTCAGCCCCAGCTCCAAAAAAAACTTCAGCAAAGGGTGCCAGGTGGCAGGGGGGGCTGACCCCCTAGGGACACCCAGAGGTGGAACCACCACGGGTTGGTCCACTTCAATGCAAACCAGAGATCTCCTCCCCAGAGCAGGAACTGCCTCTCAGGGGCTCAGTTGGCCAAGGGTGCAGCATGA